GCAGAGCTCCCACATCTCCGAGACTTAGACTGTCCGTGTCCATGGTGCAAAACAACCAGAAGGGCTGAGATTCGCAAGAGCGCTGGGGATGGGTGTTGCAAATGGAGCATGTCCGGCGCCGCAATTGATTGAGATACTTGTAGTACAATCTACAGACAATCATCATCATCATCATCATCATCATCAGCATGCAACACTTTGCCACATCATTGGTTGTGTCTCCCATGATGCATGCATGTTGGCTACCTTTCGCTCACCTCCTCCTCCTCGAGTGTCGCTTCTCAATTTTGATTGCTTGAGCAGGCTCTCCCCCACAGGTTGTTTTAAAGTTGTGCATTTATTTGTTTGAAACTATCCTTCTTCAACTTCCCCACATTCCTTTTCCTGGGCTGTTCCTGATCCACTTCGCTTCCGTCCTCTTTCCCCCTTCCACTCGCGTTTCCTTCCCTGCCACGAAGCTTGAACAAATGTATTGCAGGAGCCAGGCGTGTGTATGCCATGTGGTGACAACTGTGCTGCCTGCCAAACCTTGGAGGCCAGAAGTAGTTGTCAAAAATTAGAGTGTTGGTCATTGGTCTAAAGGCTAGTGTGAGATTGCAGACCCTTGCAGGTTTGCGACGTTTGCAAGAACCGCCGCTATTTACATCAGGGGCGCTGCGTGAAGCCTTCAGCTCAGCACCACACCAAGGTGGCTGAACGGGAAACCTACAGTAAGAAAAGCAAATTAGGAATTTGAGATTGCGCCTAGCAATCAACCTTGAAGGGAGTTTGGCTCTTTTGCTTTTTCTGAAGCTCGTGGAGGATTGTAATGGTAGCGCGCCGTGCAGCTGCAAAATTGTCAAAGCTGGGTATTCCCAAAAGCCGCGAAAGATATCCTACAGAAACCTGACATGTCCCAAGTTGTTTGTAATATAATCGAATGAACGCGCGCGCCCGTGTTTGAGTCTATTGTGCATCAACCGCAAGCCCTACGTGCGTGTAGAATGTAGTGCAACTAAGTCAACAGCTATGCCCAGAGTGTCTTTAGTCAAAAGCATTTTTGTCTTGCGCGAGTGAGATTGGTATGATGTGAGAGCGACCATGGCACAAGAGCCGTTCTTCTTCCCGAGCTGCCTGGTTCAACCTGTTGCAGTTTGAGTTTGAAGCCGGGGCTCCAGCTGACTCAGCTATGTGGGACCACGACAACGACAGTGGGCATCGTGCTAGCTGCTAGCGAAAATGGAAGTTTGTAGCGCTTGCTTCGCTGCTTGTTTCGGTCGCCCTCCTGTGCACTCAAGCGGGTTGCGTGGCTACCGTGCATGCCGGGCAGGGCCAAATGGGAGAGAAAGGCAGAGAGGTGCACACCACCAAGGCAAAACGGCAGGCGCCTATTCAATTGAGTAAGGGCTTAGTAGGACGCAGGATAGCTCACCGTGCTTCGCCAAGGCACATTATAGGTGTTTTGAGGTGTCCGGAAGGCCGACGCGGGCCGACGCGAAGATTAGGATCCCACGTCGCTGTAGGCATTTGCTTTGACTATTAGGCTTTGAGTTAGTTTTGATTTTACAAACGCATTTCTTTTCGGACACTGTTTGCGTAGATTGTTGCGTGGCACTTCAACAATGAATGCTGATTGTGGCTGCTGTCGATGTGTGTTGTCGCTGAGGTCGTGCCCTGCACGGTTTTACGGGCTGACTGCCCCCAGCCAAGGGGAAGAAGGTCGCCTTTGCAGAAATTGCAGGTTGGGGGTTGGGTGAGTTCAGCGCAGCCGTATGTAGAGGTCCACGATACGGGGTTTGTTGTGTGTATGTGAGAGTGAAACTGTTTGTATAGCAGTCAGATGTCATGTTGATGTTCGTCAACTTTTGCTCCCAGGAAATGTTGGGGCAGGAGAGTCTTTTAGGGCAAAGTTGTTGACAGCTTCCCAAATGTTCCCAATGTAGGTGACAGCTAAATTGACATGCATAGGGTATAATCCATCGAATTGTTTCAGCGCATGCTTTTGTGTTTGGAAACATGGGTGTACTGTGAAGCTATTTGTGGTAGACTTTAACAGAAGCTGGGAGACTATGTTCTATATGTCTATATGTTTTAGAGTCCCGGTCCGTTCTGGTGACTCCCAGTTTTGAATTGTCTACGTAACAGGAAGGTGGGGGAGGAAGGAGAACGGGAAACAGGGGGTCTGGTGGAGGCTGTTCAGGGGTGCACTGCAGAGCGCGCTTTTTTCACCAAGCAAAAAGGGTCTGCGTTGATAAGGGCAAAATCAGGCTTCGTTACCCGAAGCACTCCCCCTTGGACATCGTCCAAACTGCCAAGTTGTTCAAGGCTCAAGACCCTCGTATTTCTCATTGATCCAAGCAACAACCGGGCGCTGCCCCATGTATGATTCAGCTTCCGTCCCATGTGCTCGGTCATGAAGTTCAAAAAGGTGCATCCAGTCCACCGTCCTCAATCTTCTTCTCATTTCGATCTTCCTGTGATGGAGGATGTAGCTCTTCCAGGCTGCTCCCCATTCATGTACTTGATCGTGACTTCGGCCCGCCATCATCTGGTCTTCCCGAAGTGGGAAGGTGGAATGTATAGGGGGGCATGACTGGTATCTCAACTTGCAATGTGTTCGAACCGCATAGTGGAGCACTATGTCCCAACTCTTGCCTTTGGGAGGGCGATTGTATGGCGCTCGCCACACGGCTCACGAGGGTTTGCGCATCTTGGCTCCTGTGGGCCGCTACCTGTGGAGGGTCCGGGCCCCCTTGCGGCGTTATGCTGTGCCTCACCGATCTTGATGTTGCTTCTCTCACTGCCGGTTCGTTGTGGGCCCTGACAGTGGCTCTCCCTGCAACCTTTGGAGTCCCCCCGGGGAAGGTTCGTTTTCTTTTTCCATTTGTCTTGATTCTAAAAAGCCACGTTGCGCCTGCCATCAGTAGCAGCTCTGCCACAGCATCTAACACTTGTGACTCTGCCCTTCACCAACACCACCATCGCCCTGTGCAGGGTCGCCCAATCGTCCGCCACTTCGATCGAGGCTGCTGCAGCGTCCAGTGCGCGAACCTTTGGTTTCCAGTGAACATGCCCATCTGTTTCATGGTCTCAAACGCAGTTCCCACCAATTGTTTTGTGAGACCATCTTCTGGCAGTTCCGCTCCTTTGACATGATGCTGACGCCAGCCGCTCGCCGCTGCCCAGTGCAGATCGCAAACCTGCTGCTCGAAGGCGACTGGGCTGATTGTAGGAACGCTCGAGTGGCATTATTGAGCGCCACTATTTCGAATTCTGCTCTTCAATTGGCGGTGGCCTCGTCCCCGGCGCTGTCCATTCTTGAAATCGCTTGTCCGCAAATTCCTCTGCGCGGTCAGTCTTGATGGAGAGGGTTGGCGCCCTCTGTGCACGAAACCTTGCAAAAAGTTTTGCCGCTGCCGTGACCATGACCACAGTCCCCGCTTTGCAATTCAGTAGTGGGGCCGCCAACGTCAAGTGCTGCGCCCCCACGATCTTCAACTTGGCAATCTCCTCCGCAAAGGTTGCGGCCCAGTAGAGCCGGTTGCACCACTGCTGCTTCCCCATCTCCACGAAACGGAAATACCGTGGTTGCCCCATATCTTGGTCATGTCGCGCGACTCGTTCAGGGCCTTCTTGATGTCTTCCGACCAAGGGATTGGGATCCGACCATCACAAACCCAATCCAGTTGGACAGTCTCGTCAATGGACGTCCATTGGCACGTGGGCTTCAGAAGCTCCATGTGAGATTGAGGGCGGTAGGAGCAAAACATTGAAATTTCACGCAGTCTTGATTGATTCTGACAAAATCTGAAGCAGCTGGAGTTGTTGAGGTAGGCCACCAATCTTGCCACAGCAGGGGGATTAGGGACAGCAAGGTCGTGGCGGGGCGCTGGTGGACCGTGATGCTAGTGATACTTTTTGTGGCAGATGGAATAAAATATGATACATGCTGATGCTTCACCGAAGGGAACAGAATCTGGTAGTTGCAATGCGCTGAAGTATTCAGACGTCAACACATAGTTTGGCCTGGCAGGGTGAATGACTACGAGTGCTTTTCACCGAACGCCATTGTGGAATCTTAATCGCACAGATGTTGCAGCGCAAGATGTCACACCTTTAAAGAACAACACTTAGTAAGCTATATATACAAAGATATAGATTACAGAACAGTTCAGTTTGACTGCTGGACGGTGCTTGGAATTTAGGGCAAGGATCCTGATCCAATGTTGACAGTCATTGCTAAATCGTGCCTTGAGCTCAGAAGGTTTTCAGCCAGCAGCATGTTTGCGCTAAGCGACCCGTTTGTTTTTCAAGCAGTTTCCAGAACTACATTCTGATCTGTGGGTTTCAGTCCCGTGGAATACTGAGGTCAAAATGATTACTACTTATATGGAGGAGCTTGCCATCCGAAAGCCCTTTGTCCAGTTGGCACATATCCTAGGTGAGCCAAGGAATCTGTAATTTTTTCAAGAAAAAGGTTTCATCAGGTGTACATTCTTGATGCCAAAGCCTTTCAAAGTGCCTCACACAGTTCTGCCCGACAAGCAGGCGTGGCGAAGAAACACCTTCCTGGCCTGGGAACTTCATCGGCGGCATTTGCGAGGATTGTCCCCACAATTGCCTCAGCTGCAGCTCACCTTTGAGGAGGGCCGTGAACAGTGAAATGTCAAATCACAAGAGGAAGAAGGAAAGACATGCCTGAGATGTATGATGCCCAAAATGTATGACGTACATTGATTGCTTCACATTCTTTGTACCATTGCTTTGAATGAGTCACGCAATAAAATTGAGTGCAAGGTGCACCACGTGCAGAAGAAACACGTACCTGACTTTGGTGTTTGGGCAGCAAGGGTGATGAAGCTGGAAACGTCAGCGAAACTCAACGTGTACAGTCTCAGTTGAAAACGAACGCAAATTTGCAACGGCCTGACACAAGGCAAAGAATGTGTATTCTTGTGCTGTGGCAGACCGTTTTCAACACCCGCTTCGAGTCGTGAGTCACTGACCTTGGTGCCCAGGACATGTCGTGCCAAGAAAACTGCCCAGTCGGTTTTTTTGGAGTTGGTACTGCAGAGACTGGTCGCACATGTCAGCCTTGTTCAGCAAATTGTATCTGGCCTGCGTTTGGAAGCGCTGTCAAGATATTATTTTGTATCCATCTTAAGCTTGGTGTTGAATCAAGTGCTTAGATCTTACCACCTTCTTTTTATGTTTTGCCGGTACCAATTTTGTCACTTCCGCTGTAGTTAGCTTGACAAGAATGCCAATCATGCGCGCACGTCTGAATGGCTCAGGCAGCGCCTGCCAATCACAAGCATTTTGCACAAAGTGCACAAATGGTACTTTCTTGACAGCAGACTTTTCTTGTGAAGCTCAATGTCCTGAAGGCTTCTATTCAAGGACTGACTGTGCTGGCAAGCATCACATTCTCACAAAGGAGTTGAAGTTTATAATATATATATATATTACTATATAAATATAGACAGTACATACATACACGCTATCTAAAAGTCAGTCAGCAACCAGTTCTTAAGAAATGACAGACCAGGGTTGAGAAGAGAACAGTTGACGAGCACTGTCTTTTCCTCTTTGGCTCTGATGTTCAGATCGAGCGAAACCCAGCGAAACCCGATTCCGCTCAAACGGTTCTTTCTTGAGCCATCGAACGAAAGGTGCATGGTCATCATGCCAGTTGAAAGGTGAACTTGGAGTGCGGTGATCTTCTAACACCCACACTCCCCCTGATAGCATCGCTATCACCTTGGTGCGGTAGCAGGTTTTTTCATCCACTACCCACCACACAAAAGCTGCCATCTGATTCAGAATCATCTGGATCTCGCTCAAGACCTGGCGGCGGTCCCACATCAGTTTCAATGCCCAGCCAAATCGGCAGCTGGTCCGCAGCAGGAGGCAATTGATCCTCCGATGCTTGTGCTTGGCCCCTCGCTTCTCGGCCAGGGTCAAGATCGATCTCCCCCCTGCGTCCGCATCCATACAGCCGAAGGTCATAGCCAGTCATCCTGCCACCCTCGATGGACTCACTGCCTCGTGCACTGACTTCCACTCCATCGTAGGTGATGCCATCTTCGACTTCAAACTGCCCATCCTGTTGCAAGGCCCTTCGGCCTCGTTGCACTGCCCTTGAAGTTCAAGGGTTAGAACTTCCATAGCCTCTAGCCGATGAGACCGATCGAGGCGGAGGTACGGGCCCCGGCGAGAAATCATGCCGATCTTGAGTTCCTGAACCTCCATCTTGCGAAGCTCCAAACTTCACATAGAAGAAGGAATACCCACACCATTCGTAGATGCCGTTGAGATCACAATTCCTGTTTTCGATCCAGTCGTCAGTGACCACCGTTCTCTTCCACACCTCTCGGGGGTTTCTGCGAGAAAAGGCCACAGTGACCCGAGTCGCAGACAACCTGCTAATAGACATTGGCGTGCCCCTGCGAAGCGGATGGAAAGCTCGAACTCTCGATTTCTTCAAGACTGACCCACCATTCGCCTCCACCCAAGCCCACACCAAGGCACTCCCACCTGTCGTTTCCGGTTGGTGGTGTCTGGAATCTCATCAGCTCCCGTGGCAGGTCAGTTCCCAAACCAACATGCATCACAGGAGCTCTCAGGGCGCTCATCTTGGGTGGCTGCTGCATCCATGGCTTGCGTGTGCGCTCGCGGCCGAGGGAGCCCGTGGGGCTAGTGTCACGTCCATCTTCCCTTGTCCCATCTTGATTTTCTCTTCTTTCGACACCGCTCTCTCTGGATGCCTTGGTCCAAGCGGGTGCCGGAACACCCTCTTTTGACATCAAACAAGCTATGCTAGAAGCTACCGCGGCTATGGTCACGCACTTGGCAACCCTTGCATGTTCTTGAACTGGTTGCCAACAAGCTACACCTACCAGCCTGCTCACAAGTCTAATGAGCTTCTTCACTCGGGACCCGTCCTCCATGGCGTTGATAGAGGCGGCTTCAGTGCACAAACCAGTGAACTCACGAAATCGCGACCATGAGGAAGGGCTCACAATTGGCTTTGTCAGCAAGAGAAGCTCCGGGCTCATGCCTAGCCTGCCAACAGATTGAGAGTCACCATGAAGCACACAGTCGATTGCCTCATTGGCATCTCCACTTTCTAAGATAGCCACAATGGTTGCGCAGGACTCGCCCATCGTGAGAGCATCGGTGTACCCCATGAGCTCCGCTTCAGAACTTGACAAGGTTCCAAATGGCTGCTGCTTACTTTCCCACTGGATCAGAGCAAAAGAGTACACAGCCATCAACCCCTGATGCCCTCGAGAACCAGGCGGACCAAACGAGGCGTCGGAGTACAGGTGGATGCCCTTTTCTTCACTCTGCCCATGATCTCCTTCAAAATTGTGGGTGTACAGGAGGCCATGATTCGAAGTGCCCTGCAAAAAAACCCAGAACCTGTGCTCCATACTTTTGGGCCCGCAAAGGACAGCGAGCCACGTGCCTTCCAAGCCAAGACACTGTGTAGGAGAGTCGCCATTGGTCATCAGTGGGCTAGGGCCTACCAGCTGCATCGACGCAAAAGGATTTGCCACCTGCCCAGCCTTGTGCTATCGTTTCGATCGAACCATGGCACCAAATCTGTGCATAGGTTGAACTGCAATGCCAAGGTGTCGAAGCTGTTGACGGCATTGCTCCTCAGCTGCATGTCTATTCGCTCCAGGCCATAGCTCCGGCTCCACCTTGGATTGATGAAGTAGGAGTCTGAGGCGGCGTTTGATTTGTTGTACTCCAGCTTCAGCTCCGCCGTTGCTCTGGGGGTCATCACCTTGTGTAAAGGTGTGGGTCATATATATGTCTGTGTCCACACCAAGTTGCCACCCTTCTTGAAAGCAAGCCTTTCTCACGATCGCTGTGGAGCCTCACCAAATTGACTGCGAGGCAGCGAAATCGAGCATGTAGTCGTGATAGTCCCGCCAGTAGCGAAGTCACACTTCGATCTTCCAGGATTTCGATCATTGTGAGGTTCTGGAGGAGTCCGTGAGGCCTCATCAGCTCCTGGATGGCTTCAAGATCTACTGGATCCATGGGCTCCTCATCCTCTGCCATGCCCCCCCCAGGACCTCTCCTGACTGGCTCAACTCCTTCCATATGCTCTTCATCCAGGGTCTCCACCTCGAGTGGACGTGGGAGTTGATCTGGAACTGGAATGGGCACGGTTCCCAACAGTGCATATCGGGCCATTCTTCCAGTTGCAAGGTCTTTTTCCAGAGGTGAACGGACCAATGATGTCAATCGCCAAGGTGAAGGCTGCTGACGCCGTCTTGGATCTTCGATGGGGATGTTGTGTTCCCATCGCTTCGATGCCAGCACGGCAGTCGCGCCTGAATGGGACGTGCTGCGTCCTCACATGTCGCCGCCATTCATCCAGATCTAGCTTCGCGACCTGAACTGCATCATTCTCCTCCTTGAGCATTTCCTTCAACGAATACTGAATGGCCCTGACTAGGCCCGATGACCATTCTGACCAGCTCCTCGATGTAGCCATACGCTGACTCAAATCACCACAAATGGGATCAGTCGCGCCACCTCCCTTACAAAACTCCAGCTGCTCCATCATTGGCAAGTTGGTCAATAGTCCTGTAGGTTTCCTTCTGCAGTGACCTGTAGCTCCTTGATCGAAGCAGACCATCTTCATAGTTTCATCTTCCTCCAAGAGCTGCTGTAGTTGAGGCCATTCAAAGAACGAAGGAGACTCTCGGCTTTCTGGAGTGTCCAGGTACGTGGATGGGTCTTGTGGGCTTTCCAACAAAAACCCAGTTTTGAAGCTTGGGACTCTGCTGTGACATCTTCCAGAGGCCAACCTGCTTGAGAACCAACGCCGAATCATGGTCAGTCAATTGGACCTCCTGCTCTGACAGCTGTGGAACACCCCATCTCTCCTGCCCCGTCCTCAAACTCTTCGTGGACCCGGAGGTCCTTTGTTGCGGAGCCTGGAGGTCGTTCGACAAGGTGGGCCACCTAATGTGACTCGAATTTGACCCTGCTTGGCCAATGAACAAAGATATCCCCATATTGGTGGTGCAGATCAAAGCGAGAGCCAAGCTGTGTATCCAGGAAAAGCCACACATATCCGGAAGGAAGGGTTTTCTTCCAGCGAGTCAGGTTGGCGCCCAAAAACAAGTGCGCAACTATGCCCTTTGCTGTCTGATGAGATCGTCTCTGTCTTCGGTTCCACGGTAGCTCTTCCCCCGATGCATGGGTTCCGATCCATCACGGGGCAACCTCCCCGCAACCAACATGAAATTGGGCCCTGTCTTGGATGCTTGATGACGCATCCATCTTTTGCCCACTGGACCTGAAAGCCATGCTGCACCAACAAGTTTAATGGAATGATTGGTTCCACCTCATCCAGTGAAAGTAGTGTGCTGCAATTCTCCTTTCGAAACAGGGTGGTTGAGCCATGAGCTAACTCAACCTGGATGGGCCGTAAATGATCTCTCTCATTTGGAGCCGCTGTCCTCAGCGGGTGTGTTGCACCTCCGTCCAACAAAGCCACCTGGATCCTTGGCCGAGTGGTGGATGAAGAACTTGTTTGACCCTACAGGCCTTGAGTGATCGAAGCGACTTCAACAAGCTTGTCGCCTCAGTGATGAGCGCCGGTGGCATCAACACTTCCGGATGGTGTATCGCCTCCAGAACTCCCTTCCTTCACCACTTCCCGACTCCCGGACGCCGATGAGCTCTTCAAGGACCCTGACTCGGCTTTGAAGTAGTCGTAGTGACTTCTTCTTCCTTCTTTTGAGCTTCCACCCCATCGGACTCCCTTGACCCTGCCTCCTTGACCCCTTGCGAGCCCTCAATCTTTGCAACTCGCTTTGAATCCTTGGGCTTCTTGGTTGGGCAGTCCTTTGCAAAGTGGCTTTCACCTGAGCACACAAAACAACGATTCTGCTTTTCGATGTTGTCCCCAACTGTGTCCATAGGTACATTGTTCTCCTCTTCGACACCCTTGGGTGGTGCCCCAAAACTTGCACACCGTCTTCGGCTTGTCCTCCACCGTCGGTGAAGCCTGCAAAGCCTTCACCGCCAATGCCTGAGTCCCAGCGGCCTGACCCCCATGAGCTGCGGCCGTGGAACCCCAGGCACTGACAACATAAGCGACAAACCCTCCAGCTCTGCCTGAAGGTATTCGCTGGGATCTTTGGTCGCCCTGAGCTCCGGCCTCTGATCGACCATCAACTCTTGGCGCACCGTCGAAATTCTGTAGGCCATTTGACTGCCTCCCAGCTTCGACATTGAGTCCATCAATTTGCCCAGCACTTGCATCATGATGATTGGGTCAGGGAGCGTCAGATTCAACTCCTCAGCTCGTTGAAGCCAGCGATGCCATTGACGCATGGTCACCAACAGATCCGGGACATTGTTGCTCACCTTGACCTCTGTCAAACTCTTCAACAAGGTGGTTCTCTCTGCACTTCCGCCCGGCTGAAACACCACATACAGTCTGAACAATATGCTGACCGTCGAGGGACTTCCTGAAATGATGTCCCTCCTCAACGCACCAAGCAACATAGCTACTCCTCGTTGTTCCACTCTCAGATGAACAGGATCCACCTTCGCTTTAGCAGGTCGAAGTCTCAACCTTTCCAGGGCGTCGCCGCCAACCATTGCTCGGACAAGCGTCTAGCTGCTGCAAGGCTCTTGAGGGACCCACAGGACAGACCAGGCAACCTTAGAGTTGGGGCGGCAGATGAGAGATTGGATGCGCTCTTGGAACAAGAGGCCATAACAACGCGAGCATCCTCTTTGCCACCAAGTTCGGCTGCGCGGCGGCTGGCGGCAGGTTCTTGCGCGGGCTCAAGCGGATTCATCGACTTCGACGACTCAGGATCGAGGTCAAGGTGGTCGAAATTTGGCTCCAGGGTGGGAACGGTCAGAGACCTAGCGCAGGGCAAGATGGGTGGTCTGAGACGGCGCGCCAATCTCTGGAGGTTTTGCAAAGAGCCTTTAGTCCCTCCAGGGTTGAATGGAACGAGAAGCTTGGGTGAACCGCCTGCAACACAACCTACCATCCCAGGGACAGTCCGAAGCTTAGAATTGCCTGCTCTACCTCATCCAGCAGTTGAAGGGTCAGCGTTGCCGTTCGGGGACTGGCTGGTTTTGACATATCCATTGATGTCGGATCTGTCAGCGACTTCACAACAGTGGTGGGAGGGACCCTAAAAAGGGGTGGTCTTCAAGCTACAAGGCTTGGGCTCATAACCTGATGTTCAGATCGAGCGAAACCCAGCGAAACCCGATTCCGCTCAAACGGTTCTTTCTTGAGCCATCAAACGAAAGGTGCATGGTCATCATGCCAGTTGAAAGGTGAACTTGGAGTGCGGTGATCTTCTAACACCCACAGGCTCTAACAATTGTTGCACCCCTTTTGATCTCTTTGAAGGAGTCCAGCTGATGGCTCGCTTGATGGCCGCGCCTGTGAGAAGTGTTTGGGAGATTGTCTTACCTGCGAGACGCGGTTCTACTGCACCAAATGCAACGTGCTTCCGCAAGTCTGTAAGTCTCTGTTCATGTCCAGTGTTGGCGATGTCAATACTTTGCCCCCACAGACTTTCCATGACTTTGCCATTACTTGGCTTTTCGCTTTTTGTTTTGCTCGGCTTTTTGCTTGGTCTTGCTGCTTAGCGGCTTAGTGGCTTGCATGCTTTGCACTAGTCTATTCCTTGCCTATTTGGGAAAGCTCATGCCTTTCAATCAGGCAAGAACGCCGCTTACCTCACCCACAGAAAGGAGCGCTTATTGTGCAGAAATTTGGGCAACCCAGAGCAATCTGTTTGTTTAAGCTGGTTTCGGTACCACCCTTTCTCTGCATTTGCGAGCCAGAAACTCGAATTCAGTGAATATCTCTTCCAGTGAGTTGCATTCCTTAGACTGCACCCTGAAGGAATGCATGCCGGCTCGTCCGCCCACACATTATCCAGATGGTTCCGATGATCGAGAAGGACACTGCACCTTTTGTGACCGTTTGATCAACATGCTTGCATGGTCCCAAATCAGTTTTGCTTGTGCTAGCAAGTGTGTTGTATGATTGGACAGAACTAGGAGTTTGTCACGTGCAGAAAGATCTGCCTCAAAGTCTGTGCTCGAGGCAGATTTTGCATTGAATGCCCCGGCACCTGTAGCGAATGCCTGGGTCCTCAAAATTGCACCGAGTGCAAGACACCGAGCCTTGACACAATTCTGCAGTGCGGAGTTTCACACCTCCACAGCATGTTTCTCTGAGGGCATTCCACGTACCGGCGCCGTCGTAGACTTTTCTCGTTCTTTAGCAATTTTTTAAATTACGTGTAGTTGCGATATTTCAAGATCCCTGCAGGGTCAGTTAACAAAACATAACAAATTATCATCGAGGAGTTGTCATCAATTTGATGGGGTTGTCACAGGAGCCGTGGTGGTTGGGGAAGGGGAACTAGCAGCGGAGCGAAGGTATTTGCAGGGGGACTCTCCTCATGGATTTCACAGAAGCTGTCATCAATCTGACAGGAGATGCCAATGGTAGATTTTGGGATAGAGTGCGTCAATGGCTGGCCCGCGCAATCGCCCTTGAAGCCATTGGTTGGAAGTAGCGTCCTTTGTTTTGCTAAAAGCGAAAACGGACAAACGGAGGCAAGCGCAGGGAAGACTAGCGATTTCAGCCATTCTTTTCACATTTTGTCGCATGAGCCAACCTCCAAAGTGCTAAGCTAGAAGTGGGAACGTAGTGGGCGGTCCTTGAAACTTGAACAACCGTTATGGATGGCGTACTTGCTCTCAAAACAAGGTAGCAGGCCTTTTGTGAGCCGCCTTAGGGTAAGATTTAGATCAGGCAGGGCCATTCCAAGAGAGCAGACCTTTGGTGTGAGCCACGCGAGGGTAGAATTTAGAAGAGGAAGGTTCCATTCCAACATAGCAGAGCTTTTGTGAGCCACCCGCGGGTAAAATTTTGAAGAGGAAGGTGTCATTCCAATGTAGCAACATGCCTGTGCGCGCAAGTGAGTCGCAGCGTTAGTTTCTGCGTGCGCTACTAAGTTAGCTTTTGTGCGCGCAAGTCACGTTTTGGACATGGCCTCTTCGTAGTCAAGTAGGAGCGTGGGGGCGCGCTGACGACATCGCTTGCGCAAGTGAGGTGAGTTTTTGCGCGTGCAAGTGCGTTGCGAGCGTAATATACTTTTTTTGTTTTCCGGTCACCGGTCCGGTCCGGCCCGGTCACCGGTCACCGGTCCGGTCTCCGGCCCGGTCTCCGGTCACCGGTCCGGTCACCGGTCCGGTCTCCGGTCACCGGCCCGGTCACCGGTCTGGTCACCGGCCCGGTCACCGGTCAC